ATTTGATATACACGTTTAGATTGAATGGTAATTTATAATCAGTCACAAGAACGTCGAATCTGAATCACTTGAAAAAAACACGGGGGTGCTTAACTTTTTTCCAGGTGTATATTATATAAATTTTCAGTACCAATCACTTACTTAATATCGTAGTCCATGATTCCCATTTTTAAGTTATGAATATAAAAGGTAATTTATCTTCGTGTAATTTAATATTCGTGTAAATATATGAATAAACCAGTAGAGCTCTCTCATCTTGTGGATGTGCCGCTTTGGTTGCTTCAGTTTTTTTTTATCTTAAATACAATTCTTTATGAAGCAATATCATCTTATAATTTATGTCATCTCAGCTGAAAACAACAGAATATATTTTTATAAATGTCCGTTTGCTGGATAGAATACAATAGTATAAAAACCAACAAGTATAGAGGCCCCAACAGAATATATTGTTTAACAAATGGGGACGTATGTACGTTGCTGTCAGTTGGTTATGGACTTTACAGTCTCTTCTAAGTTACTGACTCATGTTAAAATTTCCGAAAATAGAGTGTATCGCAACCTGGTAATATAGACTCAGCAGATAACTGAGTCATACAGAAGGCTAATAGCATTTGTATAAGAACGATATTCTTGGTGCCATGCTGCTCTTGAAACTGCTTCCTCCGCCATCGATCGTGCTAATAATTAAGTACTATTGATCAGCATCGCAGTTCTCACTCTCATATGCTTCTTGAAAATTTTTTCACAGTCCCTCAGGTAAATATTGGCTTCCAAGATCGTGTATAAGCGTATCAAAGACATAAAATTTCATTGGAGTCGCTTTGGGAAGCTTTGACAGGTATGTATGCGGTCGAATGGTTTTGCTTAATACCAGTTTCTTTGGCCATATTTTTTCATGAAAATAGCTATTGATTTTGAGATGTCTTTGGAAGCTTGTGGGCCTTCATCCTCTTCAAATCTTTGTTTATTATCTTGTTAACAAAACCAGGAGATCTGTCCAGTTTCATCGCAACGGCTTTTTGAATTGGAGGGTGCTCTTTCGTAATAGTTGTCTTATCTTTATGTATGAGAGCGTTGCTCTGTATTGTCTTGGGTATGGTTTTATTGCCCGTTGCTGTCGTAAACGTACGGCCATGCGAATTTTTTCCGATTCCACGGTGAACGTAAAATGCTCCATTTTTTTTTCGAAATGTAATACTCTCGCTGCTTAAATGCATCTTTTCAGAAATGCCTTTTTTATTCTTCCCATAATTGAACACATGGCGGCATTTCTTCGTCAAATGATCGAGAACTCAAGGTTAACCAAATATATAGGTACTGAACATGACACCCACGGTATCACGCCTACTAGCATTTGAAATACATTCTACTGCATTGGCCTTTACAAATCGTTCCAATAATAGTGTGATTAACTCCTTACTTCAATCAATGAAGTAACTTCCAAGCATTTACTCTCTCTAAATCTTTAAATATAACTTCAACACCTGAAAAACTTTAAACCTTGTTTCAGATTATGTTTTGTCTTCGTTTCAAAGGAAAGAAAACGAATATATTCAATAAAATACATTATTTTCTGACCTACGAAAGTCAATGACTGCTCTTTAGATGAATAGTTTATTTATTTTTTGTTGTAGCGCAAAGCTACACAATGCGTTATCGGCGCTCTGTCTGTCATAGTTAACTGAACCCCGGCTTTTAACGTTGCAAGTCCATAAACTGACCGCTGAATCACCCGTGGACTAAATAATTTACTATATATATATGTGTGTGTGTGTGTGTGTGTGTGTGTTTGTGTTTGTGTTTGTGTTTTGTGATCTAAAATACTGCACTTAAATTGTTTCATAACTGTTTTCTCGTATAAAAATGAGGTAATAATTAAATTACTTTGAATTATATATATATATATACATATCCTATATAATTATGCGATATCGCGGAATATCTAAGTCACACGTTTGCTTTGGCTTGTTTATATAATATAATGTTTTATCATGGATCATTGACGTCATCACTGTGATGTACATTGTTTAAAGATCAATTTCATAATAGCTTGACATTTTTATATAACTTTGTTTGTTGTGTTTTTTGGTTTTTACTACGCCGTACTTCACCCTCTCAACTAGCCAGCTTATGTGATTGAACCTTTTCCTTTATCAAATACATTAAGAGATAACTAGGACTAATGTTCAAACCGCCGTTCGGCACATTGAAACATTAATATGAACCTTTACCTTTATCAAATACATTAAGAGATAACTAGGACTAATGTTCAAACCGCCGTTCGGCACATTGAAACATTAATATGAACCTTTACCTTTATCAAATACGTTAAGAGATAACTAGGACTAATGTTCAAACCCGTCGTTCGACACATTGAAACATTAATATGAACCTTTACCTTTATCAAATACATTAAGAGATAACTAGGACTAATGTTCAAACCCGTCGTTCGACACATTGAAACATTAATATCAGGCACACATAGCAAAAGGTCGCCGTATAAAAAGAACACACCGTGCAATGTAAGTCATTAAGGGTGCGGGAAGTAGGGGGGCTGGGGATGCGGTAGCAACCCCTGTTTTGACGTATGGGGGAACTGCGCATGCGTGATCCAAATCATATATACAAAAGGTTTGGGTATATTATTGATTGACTTATGACGAATCGTACTTTGATTGTACGAGCTGTAGACTTAGGAAAGTGAGAGAGAAGATGAGCAGATGTTGTTGGTTGAACGAGCTAACGAAAACAAGATTGTGGCATTCATGAAGCTGTTCATGGTGGGCATGACTTTGCTGGGGGTTTCAGTATCTGAGTGGACCTGCTTGAAAACCTTGTAAATGTAAATACTGAGTTCCAATCATATAAAGGGGGTTTCGATTTTTTTCAATAGTTTTCAGAAACTCCACTACGAAGAGTGTTCCAGTGTCAATGCAAGTTATATTTGTAAGTTTGTTGTCTGTTCCCTTCCCAACTTTATACATTCTATTTCT